AAGTTTTATAATATTTTCGTTTGTCTTCTTTATTGTACACAAATGTGCATTTATATACACACAGAATGAGAGGAATACTCTGATCGAAAAAAGAGAAACAAATACTAACAAATATTCAACAACCCAAAAATAAAAAATTCCAGAACCTACTTTTTACAACTATCCTCAACAGATAGCATCTTTTAATTTCTACCGTCCACTTGTCCTACATCCCAACGTGCTCTTCATTTGGCCCTTCATTTTCTGCTTTCGATCTTGACCGTTTATTTACTTCAAAACCGCAGGAAACTTTTCAATCTTTTACAAACCAGTTATCCCTTGTTTCGATGATCACTATGATCATTGGAGCATGCTTATAGAAAATTTTCTAAGATCAAAAGAGTACTGGGGTGTTGTTGAATCTAGTGTAACAGAACCAGAAGCAGGGGTCTCACTGACTCAAACACCAAAAACAGATTTGGAAGCCCTAAAACTAAAAGACCTCAAGGCTAAAAATTATCTCTTTCAAGCTATTGATCGTTTAATATTGAAGACAATTCTTTGCAAAGACACCTTCAAAGAAATCTAGGATTCTATGAAGAAAAAATATAAAGGATCAACGAGGGCGAGAAGGTAGCAGCTTCAAGCGCTTCGTTCGGAGTTCGAATTACTTCGAATGAAGCAAGGAGAATCTGTAACAGGTTATTTTTCAAGGACAATGGCAATTGTCAACAAAATGCGGATCCATGGTGATAAGATGGATGATGTTGCAGTCATAGAGAAGATTCTTCCGTCTATGACCCCAAAATTAAACTCTGTTGTTTGTTCAATTGAAGAATGAAAAAATATTAATGAACTGACAATTGATGAATTACAAGGTTCTTTGGCAGTTCATGAGCAGAAAATAAACTTCCAGGAAAAAGAAGAACAAGCATTAAAAGTCTCAACTGAAGGGAGGTGCTCAACATTCAATAGAGGAAGAGGTAGAGGAAGAAGAAATAAGGATGATGCAAATCATCGAAATCAACAGCAAGATAGACAATCACAAGAATACTAAGGAAGATGAAGAAGCAAAGGACGTGGAAGAGGTCGATGAGACCATTACTCAACTACTAATACAATCAAGTCAGCAGATAAATGTAATGTTGAATGTTATAGATGTCACAGGTATGACCACTACAAATCCGAATGTCGAACTAATATATCCAAAGGGCCAGGGGAGAAGTCAAATTTTGTAGAAGCTAAAGAACAAGAAGAGATATCCTTGTTGATGGTTAGTCATGGAAACAAAGTGAAGAACAAGAATTTGTGGTATTTAGACAAAGGCTGTAGTAACCAAATGTGTGGAGACAAATCTGCGTTTTCGGAAATGGGCGAATCATTCATAGATGATGTAAAACTTGGAGATAATTCAAAAATTTCTATGATAAAAAAGGAAAAGATAATAATTCAAACTAAAGCAGGCTCTATTCAAACCACCTCAAATGTGTTGTTTGTTCAAGATTTGAAGACAAATTTATTGAGTGTTGGTCAGCTTTAAGAGAAGGGACATGAGATTACCGTTAAAGATGGAGTTTGCCGTATTCAAGATGCAAAATTGGGCTTAATTGTCCAAGTTAACATGTCAGCAAATCGATTATTTTCACTCTATCTCAACAACACCACTCATTCATGTTTCTCAGCAAACTTGAAAGATACAAAATGGTTATGGCACTACTGCTATGGCCACCTAAATTTTGGTGGATTAAAGACATTGCAACAAAAAAATATGGTAACCAGTCTTTCTCAAATTTCATCTCAACCTCCAATTTGTGAAAAATGTGTTGTTAGCAAACAATAACGTAACCCATTTCCATAAGGAAAGTCATGGAGGGCAAAAAAGGTGCTAGAGCTGGTTCACTCCGATGTGTGCAGACCCATAAATCCAACGTCAAATGGTGGTAAACGTTATTTTATAACTTTCATTGATGACTTTAGTCGAAAAACATGGATCTACTTTTTGCAGGAGAAATCTGAAACACTTTCAGTTTTTAAAAGTTTCAAACTGTTGGTAGAAAAAGAAGTCAACAAGTCTATAAAAATCATCCGCAGTGATCGTGATGGAGAATAAATTTCACAAGAATTTACAAATTTTTGTAAAAATAACGGGATCCAAAGGCAACATACAGCAGCCTATTCACTGCAGCAGAATGACATTTCAGAGAGGAAAAATCAGACAATCCTAAACATTGTGCAGATTATTTTGGTGAAGAGTGGCATCTTAAAAAAATTTTGGCCCGAAGCAGTAAATTAGAGTATACATATACTGAACAGAAGCCCCACTTTTGCTGTTCAAAACGTGACACTTGAAGAAGCATGGAGCAGACATAAACCAAGTGTTGATCACTTTAGAATTTTTGGCTGCATAGGATACGCTCATGTTCCAGATCAAAAAAGAAGAAAACTTGATGACAAAGGGGCAAAATGCATCTTTCTTGGTGTGAGTGATCACTCAAAAGCATACAAATTGTATAATCCTATTACCAAAAAAATTGTGATTAGCTGTGATGTAATATTTGATGAAGAAAGGTTCTGGACATGGGAAGAGAATCACACTAAGCAACAAATTCCAGCTGATTTTGATGGAGAAAATGGAAATAATATGCACTAGCCTTTGGGAACAACTCAACCTGCTGAAAGAGAGCTCCGTTCAGTTAATGAAAGCACAATAGCTGAAAGTAGCGAAGAAGTAAGAGCTCAGAGAGTTAGAAGAAGACTCGCGTGGATGGAAGATTATGAGGTACAAGGAATTAACAATAATGAAGAATCACTTACTCACTTTGCCTTATTTTCAGATCTTGATCCTATATATTTTGAAGATGCTATAAAAGATTCAAAGTGGCGACAAGCTATGGATGCCGAAATTGAAGCCATAGAAAAGAATGATACATGGGAATTGATGGAGCTACCAAAAGGGTATAAAACTATTGGCGTAAAGTGGGTGTATAAGACAAAACTAAAGGAGAATGGTGAAGTTAACCGATACAAGGCGTGGTTGGTTGCTAAAGGATACAAACAAGAGTTTGGAGTTCATTACAAAGAAGTTTTTGCTCCTGTTACAAGGCATGACACAATCAGATTGCTAATTGCATTAGCAGCTCAAAACTCTTGGCCTATCTTTCAGCTGGATGTAAACTCAGCATTCTTGCATGGCACATTAGAAGAACAGGTATTTACTGATCAACCTCCTGGGTATCTTAAGCTTGGAAATGAGCATAAAGTGTATAAATTGAACAAGGCGCTTTATGGATTAAAACAAGCCTCACCTGCTTGGTATAGTTGTATTGAAGCTTACTTTTTAAATGAAGGGTTTCAAAAATGCCCTTATGAATACATATTTTTCATTAAGTGTTGTGGTGGTGAAAAAATGTTATGTCCTATTATATGTTGATGATCTCATATTCACGGAAAATGATAATTCAATGTGTGAAGATTTTAAGAGATCCGTGATGATAAAATTTGATGTCTTATTTGGGTTTAATGCATTAGTTTCTTGGCATAGAAGTGGTGCAATTTGCATATGAGATTTTTATTTCACAAAAAAAATATGTTGGAGAAATTTTAGACAGGTTTTAGATGAAGAATTGCAATCCAACTAGCACACCAACTGAAATGGGACTCAAGCTTGTTAAAGATCCAGGAGGTATGAAGATAGACAGCACTCTCTACAAACAAATTATGGGAAGTTTGATGTACCTCATAGCAACTAGACCTGATGTAATACATGTTGTAAACCTTATTAGTAGATAGATGGAATGCCCAAAGGAAAGTCATTTGACGGCTGCTAAAAAAATTATGTGCTATTTAAAAGATACCTCTCACTATGGCCTGCTCTACAAAAATGGAAAAAAATCAGATTTAATTAGTTTTATAGATAGTGACTACGCTGGAGATCATGATGATCGCAAAAGCAGTTCAGGATATATTTTTGTATTCAGTTCAGGAGGAGCTGTTTTATGGTCTTCAAAGAAACAATCAATTGTGACTTTATCAGCAACTGAAGCAGAATACGTTGCTGCAACTTCATGTGCGTGTCAAGCCATTTGGCTACAGAAAGTTCTTGAACAACTTCATTTCAAGCAAGAGGGAGCCACCACAATTTTCTGTGACAATAGTTAAACAATTAAGATCTCAAGAAATCCTGTTTTACATGGTAGAAACAAGCATATCTACGTTGTTAAGTACCATTTCTTGAGGAATCTCACAAAAGATGGAACGATTGATCTTGTTCATTGCACAAGTGAAGATCAAGTGGCTGACATATGCACAAAGCCTCTTAAAGTGGCCGTTTTTTAAAAGCTCAGGAAGCTACTTGGTGTCTTTACCTTGGAGAAATCTGATTGAAAATGGCCCTCTGCAATCAGGCTTATTAAACATTCTTGGAGGCATTTGTTGGAGTTATTTACTTTGTTAGCTTTGGCTTCGTCAAAATAACGCCTGCTCCTATTTCATAGGACTTGTTAGTAAAATTTTGAAGGAAGTTAGTGTCTTACCGAGTGTTTAGTTTGTTTACTTTATCCATCCTTTTTCGCAGATAGATGTTAGTTATTAACTCTATAAATAGAACACCTGACTGTAACGTTAGAAATGTAAAAAAAATAAAAGGTTGAGCTCCATTTTGATCTTAGCTAACAGTAATTTGGACTCTCCTTGCTGGTTAAGTTTGTGGTATAACAATAATCAGGCTTTCTGAGTCACTCACCCATGTAATGGAAACGTGATAGGCTTCTTCTCCAATGGGAAAAGAGGAACTTTTTCCTTTTCTGGGACTGGAAAGTAGGAGAGTAATGATTTTAGTTTCTTGTACTACGTTGGAAATATATACTTTCGGAAAAGTTAAAATTTATAAAAGAAAATTATTTCTTAAAGTATAAAAGAAAAATATTAAAAAAATGTTTAATAAATAAAGATAGGAATGGCAACTAGTATAAAGATACTTTTGAGATTTTATATTTTGAAATTTAAAATTCCATTTAATAAACGATTGGCGATTGGCTTTCAATTTTCCGAGAAAGGAATCCGCATTGACTCCTCTTGACCTGACCATGTAAAGCTCGGGAAACGGTTTACACGGTGCTGGTTGGATTCTAGTCATAAGCGGCCATCTGCAGACATCTGGTTGGATTCTAGTCATAGTCGTTATATTATAATCCTTTCTTCAATCCATCTCATTTTCCTTAAGCAATCACTGGAAATTTGTTGCTAAAATATATATAAAATTATTCCAAACATGGTCTAACATGCCTTCTGATTTCCGATTCTGGAGTTTCATTGTAATTCATATCTTAGTCAAACTCATCCTCTGGAAAGACGATGAATAACCTTCTGAGTAGAAGAACCATTCGGGATGTGAAGGAGTAACCGTGGCCAGTTTCTGCCCGAATGAATATGCCTTTACATATGACTGCACATCATCAGCCTTGGCCAACCCATCCAAGAACAAGCATAACTCTCCATTAGGATCCAAAACAAATAGTAAAATGCAATAAACAATCAGTGAGTATTCAATATCTTAAGAAATAAATTTAAATTCAGGAATTCAAGATACTGATTCTTGTGTTTTGTATGCTCACCAAGGGCCTTATCATGAACAAACCCCGGCTTGTATGGTTTAGGGTAGATACCAGTGTTAGGCTGCAAGAAGACATGAGAATCTGTTATAAACACAATATTTCTTATCATTATACAAAATTTTTCAATTTCAAATTTGGTTTGCTGGTTGTCCATCAAACTTACAGGATTGCGTAAAGCCTTGTAAGGTTGATCATCTATCAGCAATGTATCTGATGCAGAGTAATTCCCCTTTTTCTCTGGAAGTTGCTTGTTGATTTTTCCCCATAGTTTCTCCAGCTCCTTGAGATATAGAGGCTTCCATACCGTCTCTAATGACTTCAACCCAGAATCAATACATTGTTCCTGATCCTGAGTTTGGAGATTATCCATTTATATATGTATATATAAATGCATAGCAAAACCCATTACATTTTTTCTCCAAAACATATGTTTCTTCAGTACTTTTATTTTGGAAGTCAGAGAAAGCTATAAACCCAGGATAGGTTAACTTTTACTTACCCACACAAACAGAAGTTTACTCTTAAAATATCCCATTACACAATCCAAGACGCCCTCAACATTTCGTCTGTTTACAGATAATCGGGGAGAATTCATTCAAGCCATAAGGTCGATCGTAGGGATTATATAAAAACATATATATAAACATATGTGGAAGTAAAGGGGTTAATCTATTATACTGACTCTAGTGCAGAGGACCAAATTCCCACTTTAAATCTTTCAAAGCAGAAACTCATAAACTCATCGCAGAAAGGCCTCTTAAAAACTGCAGAAAACGATTGAACAATTAACCCAAAAAAAAAGCTAGAAAATAAACATGAGATACTAAAGATGTTTGATACTAGAAGATACCCAGATGCTTCCCATATCTGGCAGGAACGATACAAGTCTCAGGCATTCTAAGCCTATCGCCTTTAAAGAGAGTTTAAAAGCAATCCATGTAAACTAAGAACAATAAGCTTTTTTTCCGTGTCCAAGATTCAATTTTTCCAACGAAACCAAACACCCAATTGCTGCGTCTTCTTCCTGATCCTCTCGATTGTCAACATCACAACCCTCACTTTGACTTACAGCAGAGATCGATAGGACATTCGAGATAATCTCATCCTCTGCCATCGTTTACCCGATCAGTGCCGAGATGAAATCTGTAGTGGTTTGGCCTATACAGCTTGAAGATTGATTGGGAAATGGCGGACTCCACTTCTTGAATTTATAGAATTTTAAGGAATCTACTCGGAACACTGGTCAATACTTGGTAGAGAAATTACTGAGTCGTGTTGGAAAACTAACTTGATTTAATTTTTTTAGAAAATTGAATTGTATTTAATTTTGTTGGAAAATTAAACTGTAATTAACCAACTTTAAGTGAGATTTGTTAGTAATTAACAAGATAATGTTTAAGAGATTTAACTGTAAAATTATTTTACGAACGTTGTAAAATTTGTGCTTTTTTAACAATAAAATTACAGATATTTGTTTAATTATCAAATTCATTCTCTTTTAACTCTTTTTTGGCACTCAAGTTGTAAAGAAAAATGAAATTTGAAAGGAAGTTCTGATTAAGCTTAAAAAAGAGAAGAAAAAGAATTAATTATTATATTAATCACTAATCACAATCGTATGGCTGCAATTATAAAAATTAAAAATATTTTTGCACTTAATTGTGTTTTCATATGAACTTTCAAGTAAGTAATTTATTCCCAAACTCAGTGAAAGAATTTTATAAAAATTGTTGCTTTAGAAATATCTGTATGTAATTTTTTATTTCTTATTTTTTGAATGATTAAAATAAAAAAATGATACTTGTTAAAAACGAATATTAATTTACAATTTTTCTGGGTAAAAACTATGACTGTCGTTTAAAAATAATTTGAAGTGATTCCACCCAGAATCTAAAATCCCATTATGATTCAACAACACAGATTTATAGCTGCAACCAAAACTCAATCCATTGACACAGACCAGGAACGAAAGCTGAAGAAAGAAAAGCAAGAAAACAGGTTTATAACTTACATAAATACAAAATTCTGCTCATCCATTTTCACACTCATATCTTTCATCTAAATCAAATCTTCAGCGAGCTCATTCTCTGAGAGATTCTATCGACAACCATGGAGTAGTAAAACCAGTCTGGATGCGAAGGAACAATCGGTGGCTGTCCATAAGCGTGTGTCCTCACGTATGACTGCACATCATCCGCCATTGCAAGACCTTCCAAGAACAAACCCAGCTCTCCCTTTGGATCTGCGTAGAACACAGTAAATTCCCATTATTTACAAAAGTGATAAGAAAAACTATGTAGTACACTGAAAAGAATTAAACTCACCAAGAACTTTATCATTAACATTTTTTGCAAGGTAAAGCTCTGGGAAGATGCTTGTGTTGGGCTGCGAGGTGGGACAAATCAGAGGTCTTAGAACACCATGTTATTTAATCTATATTGGTAAAATATTTACTGCCCAGAAGTTAAAAAGTTTTACCCATTAGAACTTACAGGATTTAGTAAGGCCTTGTATGGCCTATCATCAATTAACAAGGTGTTTGATGCAGAGTATCCTTCCAATTTATCTGGAAATTTTTGGTTAAGATTCTCCCATAATTTTTTCAGTTGCTTGAAACGAAGAGCCTTCCCTTTGCTCTCTAAAGACTTAAACCCAGAATCAGTACAGTGATCTTCATCCTACAGCACCAGCAAACGCAAAATCCACCATTTATTATCTGCATAATTTCTTAATTTCTATGCTTATGAAGACTATTTTACTTACCCATAAAAATAGAAGCTTTCCCCGTAAATCTCTCAATATGCAATCCAGTACACTATCAGAGTTTCGTCTGCCACATCAAATGAAAATTACCAAAAGAAAGAGAAATAAAAGAAATTATGGGGCAAAAAAGGGAAAATTTAACTCGAAAAATTACCTGGTAGCCGAAGACCAAATTCCCAATTCAAATCTTTCAAAGCAGAAGCTCAGAAACTCGTCACAGAAAGCTCTCTTGTAAACTGCAAACGAGCGTAAAAACTAGAAAGAAACTAATTTAAAAAATAAAAAAAAAACCCATTGTTTTAATATTTAGGACATTGACTATACCAAGATGGTTCCCGTATCTCCCAGTGGGACTTCGACTCTTCGGAATCTTAACGGTTTCTGTATGGAAAATTCTGTGAGTGAGAACTCCGCCTAGGCCAAGAACAAGAAGTTTCTTCCTTGGCTGAAACTTCAATTTCTCCAATGGAGGAATGGAGAGACGATCAGTTGTAGTCTCGTCGCAATTGTCGCGATCTTGATCGGCGGCGGCGGAGACAATCTCGCCGTCGAGGGTCAAGGGAGTGACTTCCTCCTCTGCCATGATAATTAGGAGTATCCTTGCTGGTTAAGTTTATGGTCGAACTATAATCAGGCTTCCCGAGTAAGTGCTCAAGTAGTCTCTAATATGAAATTGAAATGGGATAGGCTTCTTTTCAAATAGGAAAAGAGGAATCTTTTCCTATTCTGAGACTGGAAAGTAGGATGGTAATAATTTTAGTTGCTTGTACTATGTTTGGATATTTTTATACTTGTAAAAATGTTAAAATTTATTTAAAATATATAAAAGAAAACTATTTTTTATAAGTATAAAAGAAAAATATTAAAAAGTTGTTTAGTAAAGATAGTAACGGTAATTAGTACGAAGATACTTTAAAAAAGTGTTTACATTTGAATTTTAAAATTCCATTTAATAAAGGATTTTGGCTATTGGCTTTCCATTTTCCAAGCAAGGGAATTAGCTTTAACTTGACCCATGCAGCTGGCTCAGGTACATTAACATAATATTATCTTTACATAAAGTTTGAAACTTTATTTACTTTATCAGCTACCCACGAAGTTTTTGAGTGATTTTGTGTAAGTTCATATCACAAAGTTCTTAACTTTATCATCAAAGTTTCAGGTAATTAATTTACGTGTAAACGAAAAATTTCGGCTTCCCCCAATACAACTTACAAATAAGAATTAGAGATATATATGTTCTTATACTGTTGTTTAATTTATTAGCAAATGGAAGTTAATTAGTGAATGGATTATGAATTTTCAATAATTTAATTATATAAACTATTTGAAATTTCTGTTAATAAACCTGAACTGATCAGTCTTAATCTATCAGTTTAATTTCAGTTTTAGCGTCATAATTGATCGATTCATTCAGCTAATTCAAATTTTTAATTTTTTCTACCGAAATCACTCGATGCTTATCTGCTGAGCTTCAATCATCTTGGGCCAGTCCGTTTATGTCTTCGGCGTCCACCTCATCAAGAGATCTGTTGACCGCGTTGACTGGGTCATGCTGAACCAGGCCCGTACTTAGCGGGCAACATATTTCCTGCCCAATTTGCCACGTGTACCCTGGCCACTTCGTTCATTTAATTTAAATATTTTTACATATTTTATAAATAATAATTTTACAAAATATTATTAATTTCATGTCGATTTTGAAATTGGTGGTGTTATTAATTAGACTGATATTAGTGTAAGAAATTAATTAAAGATTAGCAATAGTATTATGTCCACAATTATATTGATATTTTATTTAGGATAAGGCTTAGCTGCACTAATATATTTGAATATTTGGGCCGAGGACAAGCCCACGTCCTTCGTACTAATTTTAATATAGTTATAATGTCTAATTCAAAAGTAAATTGTTTTAAATTTTTATGAATAAAAATTAAAATTAACAAAATATAATATTATTAGAAGTTACATAGGCACGTATTATTAAAAAATATCGTATTCATAAATATAGTTGATTTATTTTGAGTTTAATAAAAAATTCCAGAAATAAAAAAATATATGTTGAATTAAAAAAAAAAAAAAAAGCTCATGAATAATCATTTTTTAACATATGAACGGAGGAAGCCGCAGTTTAACCTTCGAATACTTGCTAGAAAGATAACATTGCCACGTGGCAGAACATTCTAGGACCAGCTCGAGCCTGACATGAAATTTTTCCAGCTCCTTCGAGCTTATCTCAATCTCCATTTTTACCAGTCTGTGTGTATATATATATATATATATATATATATATATAGAAATCATGACCGCGAAGCTTTATCCAAGCTCTTCTTATACACAAATTCCTCAACATCCATCTCAAAGCATCATATCCCAAAGACGATAGAAACAAGACAACGATGAAGCCCATTGACGACAAGAAGGAGACTGTGACGATAAGAGCTGTGAGCCGCGACGAGGAAGGCCGGAAGAGAGTGGAGAAGGCCGAAGTGAAGACGCATAACGTCGACACTCTCAAGTACATCGAGAAGAAGCTCGCCGACAAGGGCGTCCAACGCATGGACCGTCACCCGGCCGACGGCATTGGCATCGGCAGACCACCTCCCAAATCAGGGCGCGGTGGGAAATACACGTGGGATGGCCCCGACGGACCAGCCGAGAACGAGCTGGAGGCGGCACCTCCGGCCATTGACCGTGGTGATCCCAATTACGTGGACGAGGAGGAAGAGGAGAAGGTCGCCCGAGATTCCGGGTTGGTGGTCGGAGAGGTAGAGGTGGCCAAGGAGGCGCCGGAGGGTGTGGGCAGGGTCGAGGTGGATCCTCGGTTGAATGTTAATCGATTATTTTGAATTTCTCCTTTTGTGTGTTTTTTTTTTTTTCTTTTCCTACTTGGGAGCAGAACTGTTGTTTGTTTCGAAACGGTGTCGTTGTGGGTTAGTGGTCCTAAAACGAAGCGTATTGGTAATCGGGTTGTAAGATACAATAATATTTGCGAACTGGGTGGGTTGCTACTATTAAATAATCATATCTTAAAATCAAATTTTATAATTTAAAAAATTGGTGAAAATGTGAAGAATATTTATGGGCTAATAGTGTTTAATGTTCGTATATTTGAAGATTTGGGTTGGGTCAGTTTCTATATTCTTGTTTGCGGAATGGGATTGTTCTGGGTTTTCATTTAAACTCCTTACAGCACAATTAGTGATTGGTTGATAAACCTAAAAATCTACGTGCGCCAATCGTGTGGTTAAACGTTGATGAATAATAATTAATCTTGCACAGCTTTATTATTGATTTATAATTAGAAAATACAAGATATAAATATTATGGGCGGGGCGGACGGACAGCAGCACATGTACTCAGATTTTCCAAAATCTTTGTCTTTGTTTTATTTCACGGGCAAAATCAAAGTATAAAGCAATTCTCAACTTTTTTTTTTGGAACCCATTATCATTTTCTTATATTGGTTTTACGTGCTTGTATTTAACTTTTTAATTGTATGATTATATATTGTCTCTTTAGGCTCTTTTTGTTGCATAACAAGTAATTTTTATTTTTTTAATTTACATAAAACTATATGAATTGATTCGATATAAAGAGAATAATCATGAAAAGGGTAACAAGCGAATAATTTTATATTTTATTTTGTATTAAAAAAATAAAATTTATTTTTTAAAAATGTACTATTTTAATAAACTATAAATAATTTTAGTTAAAAAATAAATTTATTTATTAATATTAGTATAATTTAAATATAAAATAGATATGATTTATCACAATAAATAAATATATACAGACGTATAGAGTATTTAAAAATTTAAACTAAATGACATGTTTTAATTGACACATTGAAAATCAAGGCCATATGTCAATTAAAAACAATCATTTACTATTAGAAAGTTACATATTCAATTTGATTATATTTTGTTTGATACGGTGGACCCGGTTGAGAGTATTTCTAATACCATAACCACTAATTGAACACGGTAATTAAAAATATTAAAAAAATATTTGTTTGAACTAATCGCAAGTGGTAATTGCTAATAATTAATTTTTTTATTAAAAAAAAAAAAAAAAAAAAGCTGAAATTTTATTAAATTTTGAAGTAATTACGTATATAGGCGGTGGGGCATTCTTAGATGGAGGTGGCATCCGTTTAGTCTTTTCTTTGTATTTGTAAGTATAGGTTTAGTACATTTTCATAATCAAGACACGTTAACAGCTAATAAAACATGATTTGACTTTCATTATTATTCAAATAACAATTAATTAATTAATTGAATAAAAAGTAGCCATCGGAGTTGGGATTTAAGCAATTTAATTCGATTTGGTCAGTAGAATCAATTGTCTGACTTATGTCGGAATTCGAGTTAGTGTGATTAATTTATAATTTTAATTTGAATCTCACATAATTAATAATATGTTTGTTTGATTAAAATTATGTTTGGAAGTAGCAAGACATACTCTGACGATTACCCTTATTCAAAAAACGTTGACGTTTTGTAGTGTAAAAACGTTATATTTTTCAAATGAAAGAAATTTAGATTTTTTGCTTGCCTCATAAGTTTCAACATAAATACTCGAAGGATTTTAACTCATTTGACATGCTAAATTTCGTATTATCATTCTAAAATTAGATACTTACTATTATATGACATCCAACATGTTTATAGTAAATGAAATAAATGCGTTAATTGATTGATAAATATTAGTTTTTCTTTATCGATAGGTCTCAACTCTTATGTTCATGTGATAAATGATTTATAATCGCTATTTATTTATTTATTTTTTTAATTTTTATATTTTTTTATACTTCAAAAAAAAATAGACTTATTGGGAGTATTAAAGAAGCGGGGATTTTGAACGTTTAAAATAAATTAGGAGACCAAGTTAGATGGGAAATCAAATCGACAAACGACACCGCTTCAAATCCAACCAACAGGCTTTTGCCATAAACGTTATTGTCAAACCATTAACTCCACCGCCAATGACTAAAAGAAGAGAGACAGTTTAATTGAACCCAGACAAATATTTTTTAAATTACTAAAAAAAAAATTGAAAAAAATAAAGCTTTTAAAAAGCAAAATAAAACATAAACCATATAAATATACAATAATGTAAATAATTGGGAATGATTTACATAAAAAAAACATTATTTTTATTATATACGGTAAGTTTATTAATGTTAATACTCAATTCTTATAATTTTTAAATTTCATTAACAATTAAAATATGAGAAAAAATAATATGTATTATCTTTGTTAAAATTTTTATAAGATAACCAATTACTTTTTAAAAAAAAAAAATATTAAAGACTAAATCATGTCAAACTTTTTCACGACAAGATATTCTAACCGACAAATTTAATTTCGCAATTACTCCTAATTTTGTTTGAATTTTTTAATTAGTTTAGCTCGAAAACCTGTACGTATATATAGATACACATGTAATAATTTTAATAATACATTATAATTGATATTATGATTTTTTCTACCGGAAGAAACATGCCATTGTTTGATCATCATCAATCATTATCTCTGCCATCGTGGAACCAGTTGGAATGCCGAATGCTCACTCAATAAGCACTCCACATAATTGATTTTTCATCGGAACATAAATATATTCTTATATATATATATAAAGGAATATTTAAAAGTACAATTATTATTTTTTATTTGGTTAAAATTACATTTTCATTTTTTACTCATAAATTATTTGATATATAATATCTAATAATTATTTATACATGTAATATGCGATAGTTTTATTTACAACAATTAAAAATTTTAGTTTTACTCCTCAAATGTCAAAATTTTAAAATAATTATTGAAACATAAAACAAATAACCATTTGCCGAAGTGACAAAATGTTCCAGTCAACCGACAACTGCTGGAAAATTTAGCACGAGAATAATGCGGACTCATATTTCTCAATTAAAAAGTAAAATAAAATATTATATATATATATATATGCATACCACCAAAAATTATAGCCCTTTTTTTTTTATGGTGAGGAACCACAAAAAATATCGTAATTTATAATAAAAAATGACAATAAATTAGACAGTCCGATATTTATAAATTAATGAACAACAAACCTTATTTTAACAAATTAATCATAAGATAATCAAGGAATTAACTACTCATCAGAGAGTCAATCATAGCCGTTGAGCAGTCCGTATATAGATATGTATACTTACATATTATATTCCCAAACTAATTCTGATGGTGAGTTAAGAATGCTTTCCTTTTTTTCCCCCTATTTATTGTTTATTTTAATATAATAAATTTATATTTTTATTAATAAAGTAATTAATACACCAATTATAATATAATATTAATAATATATGAAAGATATATCTATAAAAACATAAATTATTTAATCAAATAATAATTAGTATTTTGATGTGAAAACTACACATTTACATACATATACACGTATATATTTATATAATTAACACGACTAATTTGCCGATTACTTGTAACTTATTAGTGTTTGTTCTTGAAGTTCGGCTAGGTTTGTCAAGTTAGTTAACACGTTTTAAATCCACATTTGTTATGCGTTTGTAGGAGCACAAATAATCTAATAGTTTTGTTTGAATTGATTGAGTTTAAATTACATTAAGATATTTGAAAAAAAATAAATTACAAATAATTACTTATTAAACTCACTGTTTAATTGAATGAATAATAATAATAATAATAATTATAAATCAATATTTGAACATTAATTACAAGAAAAAGCATAGTTGAAGAGTACATTAATTGCTTCAATAAATGGTAGTCTATCCGCTTCTTTTTCCCCTGCCATACGTATATATATATATATATATGTTTTAATTACTTAATAAAAAATGGTTAAAAGGTTGTAATTAATGATCAAGAATGTGTTGATTACCAAACAAAAAGTATGGTTCAAGTTTTAGGTTCTACATAATAATCAAATCATGAATTGGGTAGTCTAAAATTGAAAAAGAGTAGATTAAGCTAACCGCGAAGTGACGTCATTCGCCGGAATGTCGATCGGCGCCGTCTGCTGATTAGACTTTTCACCTTGAACTTGCATTTTTTGTTAAGCAAGATTCAAACCTTTTCTTTTTGGTAAATTTTGGCAGTTGTCACTTTTACTTTTAATATAAGCCGGACAATTGTTATTTGTAGTTGGAACAGTTGGATTTTTAAGATACAAAATAATAATAATTATTTAATTAAAAAAAAAAAAACCTCAAACGGAGAGATTATATAAGACATTGTTCTTCGTCTCTGTTTCTTGCTTACCATTTCTGTTTTTCTTTCTCTGTTTTCTGTCAATGTATTGTCTCTGCTTCTGTTCTTCTCTGTAACAGAAGCAGAGTATGCCATTTATATATTTTTCTTGAGATTTTGTTCTGTGAAAATTTATACGAGTTTTCTCTCTGGTTTGGTAGATTGAGATTAACAGAGGAGGTTCGGTTTGTTTTATTTTTTTTCGTTTTTTTTTTTGTTTGGGTTCGAGTGACTGACATTCCAGCTCTGCCGCCATTGTTTTGCGTGTCCCAGAAGCAAAATCACAGAGAGAAGGGAAGAAGAAAAAAGAAAAGAGCAAGAAGAAAAGAAAGGAAATA